GGTGTAACTTTTTGTGTACAAAGAGTGATTTATTCCTTGCATTTGGAATCTGTGTCTGGTTCATTTTGATTTTCAAAAAGCATCTACCATATTTTTTTGAAACAAAAATTGAGCAGAAATTGTTTTCTCATATGAATTTCTCAGATAGTCAATTTTTCTTTACTGTGAATATAAAGAAAGGATTGAGCTTTAAGAATTAGTATGAAATTTCTAGAACAGGCAAATAAAGGAGATTGGTGATTGCTTAGGGAATTGGGGAAAAATGGGATTGACTACTTGGGTATGGGGGTTTCTTTTTGATAAGAAAAATGTTCTAAAATTGGCTGTGGTGATGGTTGCACAACTCCGTGAGTATGCTAAAATGTATTGAATTGTAAAAACATCATTGTATTACATATTTTTAGTTTTAAAAAATACCCTAAGGAAAAAAAAAAAAAAAAGACAACCATTGAACATTGCCCAGCTCAGAGAAAATAGGTCAGTGATAAAGAATGAAGAGTTTTGGGGTGCCTGGGTGGCTCAGTCGGCTAAGCGTCTGACTTCGGCTCAGGTCATGATCTCACAGTTCGTGGGTTCGAGCCCCACGTCGGGCTCTGTGCTGACAGCTAGCTCAGAGCTTGGACCCTACTTCTGATTCTGTATCTTCCTCTCTCTGACCCTCCCCTGCTCATGCTGCCTCTCTCCCTCTCTCTCAGAAATAAATAAAACATTTTGAAAATTAAAAAAAAAAGAATGAGGAGTTTTGAAGAATTATTGTCATAGTAGGAAACTGTTAGGAAAAAAGAATCCAAGGAGCAGAGTTGATTTACCATTCAGTCTTAATGTGAGTCAGAATCAATTAACTTTAGTAGGCTGCTTAATGTCCTTAAAAATTATGATACAAAACAGAAAACCTTGAATATTAATGCATGTGGCAAGGAAAGAAAAAAGGCACGTGACATTTTGTAAAAGATTATATACTTCATAAAATTTAGTCAAAACAATGCATGGAAAAACAAGAGAGAACAATTACACGGAGGGGAAATTTAGCAATTCAAATGGGGATTTCACTGTAAGATCCTTTTTAGTTCTTCCCTATTTTCCTACAAGTTAAAATATCTCTTATTTTAAAGCAAATCTCCTGTATTGATATTAGTTCTTTTCTTGGTTATTCTACACAAGTATATTACCCATTTAACTTAATTTAGCCTCTAACCTAAGACCTACTTTAAAAAAAAATCTAGGAGTGCCTGGGTAGCTCAGTTGGTAAAGTAACTAACTCTAGATTTAGGTTCAGGTCTTAATCTCACAGTTTGTGAGTTTGAGACCCGTGTTGGGCTCTGATACTACAGAGCCTGCTTAGGATTCTCTCTCTGCCCCTCCCCTGTTCTCTCTCGCTCTCTCTCAAACACATAAACTTTAAAAAACATATAAAATAAGCAAATCTAGAATGTCTCAAGGAAAGTATTTTCTGCACAAAATAGCTTACACAACAATTCAAGATATGATCCTAACAGGAAAAGAAAAGAAAGACACCTGTACGTGGCTGAATGTTATAATATCCTAGCCTCCTGCCCAGAGGTAAAATTATTATCAGTTATAGTAACATAATATACATTCCAGCAGAGTAAGTCCAACAAACGAATGAGAAAATGTTCTGAGAAATTGGAATTAAAGTCCAAAGGGTCTCCCCTATCCTTACTTCATTCATTTTTTTTTTTAATGTTTTATTTATTTCTAGGAGAGAGAGAGAGAGAGAGAGCGTCAGCAGGGGAGGGTCATAGATAGAGGGAGTCACAGACTGAAACAGACTCCAGGCTCTGAGCTGGCAGTCAGCACAGAGCCCGACGCGGGGCTCGAACCCACAAACTGCGAGTACATGACCTAAGCGAAAGTCGGACGCTTAACCGACTAAGCCACCCAGGTGCCCCCTTACTTCATTCTTTATGAGAACTGTCCCTCAATACCTCAATTCACATTGTGTAGGAAATGTTCTTACCACAACTCTTTTCCGGAAAAGAAATTACCTTTATCCTACAGCAGGGTGGAATTTTAAGTAAAGAAATGACTTATAAATTCCCAGAAATCCCCAAGTGAGATATAATTTAGATGTTACTAAAAACCAAGGGGATAGCATTCACTTTACTCTAGATTTTTAGAGTAGAAAACCTCAGCAAACATCTCATGTGATTTGTTTTCAGATCATAAAATAAAATTCATGTTAGCCTAGCTCCTAGGCACTTAGATTGGCTTCGTAAATTATTGGCTGACTCATACTCACTACAGTCATACATTTTATGCCAGAGGCTTTATTAGCAGTACAGGAACATGAAGAAATGGTAAACAAAAAAATCCTTGGTTAGTGTGCTAGGTGTTTGCAGATCTCCAGAATCTTCCAACTGTTTGCATGCTTTTCTTTTCCCTAACCATAATCTATGTATATCAAAATGAGCCACTTAATCCCTTTGGTAAACCAAACCTTGAAGGGCTTAAAAAAAGATTATTGGTTTTACACGGAGAACTACTAGGAAATTTTACCTAAATTATAACTGAAATATAGAAATATAGGCAAAGCACAGAAAGACAGATTCCAAATTGACCAAAAGTAAGTTTAACTGCATGGTATAGGCAGGTTTTCAGAGAGATCATGTACTAGAGAGGGCATTTCAATGACGACTCTTTGATTCAAAACTATGTACATACATATTCAAATATATGGATAGTTTATTCATAATATACGTATATATTAAACATGGCACATAGTTTATACAGTATATCTTTTTAAAATTTTTTTTAATGTTTTATTTCTTTCTGAGAGAGAGAGAGAGAGTCAGCATGAGCAGAGAGAAAGGGAGACACAGAATCTGAAGCAGGCTCCAGGCTCTGAGCTAGCTGTCAGCACAGAGCCTGACGCGGGGCTTGAACCCACGAACTGTGAGATCATGACCTGAGCCAAAGTCGGACACCCAACCAATGAGCCACCCAGACGCCCCTATACACTATATCTGACACATACATATATACTTATTTTTGAAGAGAAATCGCTTGACTGTATATTCTTCTAAAGGTGCAGGCTATAGATAATCTTGAAAAAAACAATACAGAACACTAATTTTGGGAAAATCTGGGATCTTTTTTCTGGTAGGGATGAAGAACATTTAACTTCTTGCTTTAAGAATTTAGAGTCATAAAAAATTCCTAACCCTAGGGAAAATAGCATCTCCACACAACTTATCCTTTAACTTCTTGCTTTAAGAATTTAGAGTCATAAAAAATTCCTAACCCTAGGGAAAATAGCATCTCCACACAACTTATCCTTTCGACTGTATATTCAGTTTTAGGCATAATTAGTTTCTCCAATGACCAATGCTTTACAGAACACAAGAAAGAATATTCAAACAAAAATACAGAAGACTATGTATTCAAGGGCAGGAAATTAGTGACGTTAATCATCTCTCAAATTAAGAATCTTAGAGCACGTGCATCAATATCATCTAGCAAGTGAGCTAAAATGCAGCTCCACGGGCCCAACCTAAGAATGAATCAGTATCTCTGGGGAAAGGGGTCAGGAGTCTGCATTTTTCACACACAGGCCACGCATTTTTGGTGTACGCTAATTTTGAGTCACTGCTACATTTCTGTAACATTTAGGAAGCAAAGCATGCCTCTCATTGTATTTGAGGATGGAACTAGAAAACCAATGTTCACAAGGGCTTTGTCTTCTGTCAGCCTGGAGCAAGGAGCTGAAGGTAGCAGAGGCAAGGCTGAAAGCAAAGGCAAAACAATGTTTAAAAGAGACAAAAGAGTTTACCTTCAAATAAAGACTCCAAATCCATATGTAAGAATGTATGGATTTCATCGTACTAAAGAGAACATGCAAATCTTACTAAATAGAATGCTACAGATATTAAGAGAGAGAAGTACTAATTTTCATGTGTTCAGATGGGCATATGAATGTAGAATCATGCTTGACATTTAGGTTTCAATTCAAACAGAAGTTGGTAAGAAACAAAAATAAATCAAAACATACTTATGATCAAGTGTTCTGCATCTCTGGAAATTAAGTTCTTTGTTATCCCCCCCCCCAGGGTTATTATTACAATGATAATTCCCTTTTTTAACAAAAAGGAGAGACATGTATTTTTTTCCATAACATTCCACCAAGTCCCTTTTTCTCCTCTTGCAATTTCCAAACAACACTGAGAAATGATCCATATACTCAATCCAGTAAGGACAGATAGCATTCTCATATCTAATAGCACTGTAGGTATAGAGAATTTCCTATATATCATGAGTGAGTACAAATTCATTTCCACAAGGAAAGATTCCAATGGCTGATTCCCCTTCTGAATCAGAAGTCATTGTTTCTTGTTATTTTTATTGCAACCCAGCATTTCATTTAATTACATAAGGTATTTTACAGTGCTCATTTACTCACTAGGAATTAATCATTATAATGTCCACCTGTGAAAAATAAAATCCCAAACCAAAACAATACTGAAAACTACCACCAAAACCAAACTAAATAAAACCCAATACATACACTTTCCAGTACCAAAATTCACTAGTAACTAGTGCCCACAGTTCTCAATGTTTAATGCTTATTTCAAAATAATTTAAACCAAACCACAGCTTTCCTTACACATATATCTAAACAGAGCAACAAGGGCACCTGGGTGGCCCAGTCAGTTGAGCGTCTGACTCTTAATATGGACTCAGGTTGTGGGATCGAGCCCCACATCAGGCTTCCCACTGAACATAGAGCCTGCCTGGGATGGTTTCTCCCTCTGCCCACTCGCACACTCTCTTTAAAAATAAAAATTAAAAAAGTTAATGTTTAAAAAACAAAATAAACAGAGCAGATAGTCAGAGGCACACTCCAAGTGTCACTACATCACTCTCCTACCACTACCTATCCATCTTCCCTGTCCAGTTTCAATATAAAACCTAGAGTAACAGTTAAGAAAAATCCATAAAGCTGCTGAGGAAACTGGTACTTGAAGAATTTTTCACAAAACCAATCATTCCCCAAATAAAGTTTATTTTGAGAAGAATACAACATGGTCATATGAACTTAAATTGGGCATATCTAGCAATATTAATGAGTCAAATTCTATTACAAGTGAGGTCACAGTTCATGTCTGGTTATTCCCACGAGTGGAAAGGCGTAAAAGTGTAGCCAAACCAAAGGCAGATACTTAAAAACAACCATAACCTGTTATAGGCTTTCATTTTGTGCTTGTGTCTATTTAGATGAAAACTGATGTAAATTCACATATCAAGAAATATGCTGCCCGAATAATCACAATTCGTTTTGCTTTGCCCGCTCTACCAGAGATAGCATTGCCAGGAATGTCTATAGAAGGTGGTACCATATGACAAGGTCTCTCTCCTTCCTAACGAACACAGCATAAGGCTTTCTATATTGTGGTTTATAACTCTTCCAGGTTGAGGAAAATAGTAGTGACAATTTAAAAGATTTTTACATATAGGTGATTTCATCAGAAAAAGGTTATATGTTCTTCCCGAGAACTTTATGTTTAGTGGGAGAAATGTCAACAGATAAGTGGCAAAAATAGCCTGTACATGATATAATAACTGTTTGAAATTCTCTAAAAACAAAAACAAAAACAAAAAACCTAGAGGTAAATAAGCATGAAAGGCCTAAGACACACAAGCCTGGACCTTCTCACAGCTCAGGGTTTTTGAGGCAATTCAGTGCTAACCCCAAGATTATTCAATGAAACCAGAGCCATTCATAGATTAGGGGTAGAATCAACAGCCAGTTCACCATCTTCAAAGGATAAAGACCCAAAGACACAAAATGGAGTTAGTTGACTGCTTTGAGAGCAAAGCGATCGGTCCAAGGAGTTCAAAGGCAAGATTTACTTTTTCAATAGGAGAGGGCAATACAAAGATACTGAACTTGGGGACTGTGATTTGTTTGCACAAGTTGGCTGTTGACCTCTGCAGAACAATCCATCTCTTTGAAGGATAATGTCCTCCTTTTTTAAGGCACATTAAGATCCACCAGAGTTTTTCACAGGGCTCAGAGCAATGAAAATCAAAGACAATGATGCACTTGAGATCACTGTGCAAGTGATAAAGAACTATTATGGAGATTTGGGAGCTTTTACCAATTTCAGGTAAAATTATAAAATCTTCCATTTTTTGACCCAAGACAGATTTCTATGCAATAGTAGCAGCTGTGGGTCCACGTCATTGTTTTGATGAGCAGAAATGGGAAATTTTCTATTGGCTTTCTAATTTCTTTCATGACACAATGTTATTGTAGTATAATACATCAGTAATAGATTGTATTCATTAATCAACCAGGAAGGGTAATCTGCTAGACTTAAACACTGACTAGATACAACTCTCTACCTCAGCAACAACATTTTGACACGTTATTACAAAACACCAGACACATAAATAATTTGTCCTATTTCTCATTATAGGTTATTAGTCACTAGGAACCAAGCTTTATATAACTTAAGCCCTGGGCAGAATGTTTCAGTGTACACATATTTATAAGTTATTAACTTCGTTATTCACTTTGGCATCACACATCTCCTCAGTAGAGCAGTAACTGTTAACAAGCCCAAACCAACGACCCTTTTCCTCCTTTCCTCAAGCAGAGACTCAAAGGCAGTTACAGACACACTGTTTCAATATAACATGAAAATAGTAAGCCTTGGGCTATTGCAAAAGGTTTCTCAAATGTCAGTATCTAACTTGGAGAAAATGGAGGCAAATAGAAATAGAGGGTGCTGATTTGTGTCATAACTTGGTTTTAACGTTGGGTGTGCTTCCTGCTGCAATATTTTAAAATTGCAAGTAAGAAAGTAAAACATAAGGCTTCATATGTGAAAGTGGAAGATAGTCCAGCAGTCTCCTATTCAAAGACAAATTAATTTTTTCTTCCCAGTAAGTCACCAGAAAGAAATGGGCACTTAGGAATCCTAAGGGGTTCTTCAAATAATATTCAGAAAAACATATAAAAAAACAAAAACAAAAAAACAGAACAAGAAAATAAGACTTTCTTTCAAAATGTTGCCCTATCTTTAAGGATGGATGCCATATCAAATGGGCAGATGTATCTTTATAACTCATCATGTTTATATGTAAATTCTCTGGCAGATATAAATCCATCTTTGTCTTCATCTTCTTTATCAAAAATATCTTCCACCAAAACATCATGATGACTTTCATTCACCACTGCGCCATGCTTTTCAAACTCCTTCTTTAAATATACTTTAACCTACAAAATAATGGGTCTCATTAATAATTCTAAACATAAGATACCCACATCAAGCCAGTTAATATCACAGAGTGGATTGGTAGTTTATTTGATTACATGTAACAATGACCAACCAACTACTTTACAGTATATCATTAGATGTATTTCTGATGACAGTAAAGGAATTATGAGGAATTTTCTTCTCCTTAAAAATTTTGGCTATACTGCTACAGTTACAGACACAGAATATTGCTCAGAGGCAGAAATAAGGTTTCTATCATCCACTGGGGCTCCCGGGTGGCTCAGTTGGTTACACGGCCCAGTCTTATTTTGTCTCAGGTCATAATCTCAAAGTTCCTAGAATTAAGCACAGAGTGGGGCTCTGTATTGACAGCTCAGAGACTGGTTGGGATTCTTTCTCTCCCTCCCTCTCTCTGCCTCTCCCCCACTCTCTCTCTTTCTCTCAAAATAAATAAATAAACTTTAAAAAAGAAAAAGAAAAAGTAAAGCACCAAGTGAAAGGATACATTCTGTTCTTTTTTTTTAATTTTTAAAAAAATTTTTTTAATGTTTTATTTGTTTCTAGGAGAGAGAGAGAGACAGCGTGAGCAGGGGAGGGTCAGAGAGAGAGGGAGTCACAGACTCTGAAACAGGCTGCAGGCTCCGGGCTGGCTGTCAGCACAGAGCCCGAGGCAGGGCTCGAACCCACGAAACCGTGAGATCATGACCTAAGCGAAAGTTGGACGCTTAACCGACTAAGCCACCCAGGCGCCCCGGATACGTTCTGCTCTTAATCTTAGTCTAAATAAAGCCAACCATTTGAAAAACTAGTCTTTCATGCCATTGAATTATCCAGATCTCTGACAAGGGTCAGAATTCCAGGTATTTCTCTTAAAATCAGATTAAATAATGGCATTAAAAATTTATTTAAAATTTTTTTGAAATTTTATTTTTTAATTCCAGTATAATTAATATACAGTGTTACACTAATTTCTGATGTATAATACAGTGAGTGATTCAACAATTCTGTACATTACTCAGAGCTCATCATGATAAGTGTGCTCTTAATCCCCTTCACCTATTTCACCCATCCCCCCCACCTGCCTCTTCTCTCCTAATGGCATTTTTTAATTTAAGTAAGTGTCTGGTAATAGTCCATGCTGTGGATCTGGCTATGATCATGCCTCATGACCTCCCAATCTCAGAAATTAAAGCAAAATCCAGCCTGATGAGTGCCTACACTAAAAATTTCCACTCTCATTCAGAAATTTAAAGATATAAACAAAATACTGTTCCTAATTACCCACTGGATTTACCATAATGCAGTTTAACCTGTATTTTCATTTTTAATCAGATCTCTATTACTCCTTCGGTTAGATCAGTAATTTCAAATCCTCCTTCTTCCCCCTGTCGTCAATATACAAACATATGACATATTTATTTTTAAGATTAAGGAGATTTATTGCAGTTGTTTAAAAAAAAAAAGGATGATAAAGCTATGTAGATTAATGTAGAATATGTCTCTAGGATATACTGTGAGAATAAAGCAAGACGCCAAATAGTATGTATATCATGCTATTTTTTGGTAAGTAAAGGGGAATAGGAATATGTATTCATGTTTGCTTATATTTGCATAAAGAAACACTGGAAAGATACATTAGAAACTAATAAAACTGGGTGCGGAAGGCGGTAGATCACATAGTAAGAGAGGATATGGGTGGGAGAGAGACTTCTTAATAAACACCTTTTTCAACTGGATTGATTTTTTTTTAAACCATGTGAATGTGTTGCATATTTAAGGGTTTTTAAATGAAAGGTTATTAAAATTTAGCTTGGAGAGAAAAAAGTCCTATGATTGGTAATATTATAAGGTGTTATAAATTTAGTAGCTGTAGATCATGACCCTATGAGTTCACAATAACTTCACTTATTTAAGACAATCATTTCCTGGCCATTAGAATGAAATTGATCAAAACATAAAAAGGGACTTGATTTCTGACCAGCCAAGCCACAATGGAGAAAATGGGACAAGAAAAAAGACTGAGTAGGTATCTACCTCCAATTCTTTCCCTACAGCAGCCAGGCTGAGACAGGTATGTGTAAAAATGACTGCGAAAGCCTAAATAAATTATAGAGAGAAAACTTCTTCCTTTCTCCTTACTCAAACACCCGAACTAAGAGGGGGCTGGGAAAGGTCAACAGCTCTAGAAAATCCAGACCAGAGTCTCCTTTCTCCAGATGCTACCCAGAACAAAAGAACCCAGCATGTGGGCTGTTTGCTGCTAATTGCTAGGAAATTACAACAAAGTGTAACAGCCAGTTTACAGTTATAAACAGAAAACATCAACTGGAGATATTTCTCAGGAAGTGGATGTTTCTTATACAGCAACTCCAAAATGGGAATTGTCTTAGCAAAATGGATCTTTCAAAAATTCAGAAGAAGGCAAGATAGACCTTAAGCATGGAGGGGAGGGGGGAGGGGGAAGCAAAAGAACGAATGGTGTTTTTTAAGTCTCAATATATCTCTCTCCGAAATAATGATTTCCTATTTTTTAAAAAGCCAATATTCAAAAAGCATCAGTATAAGAAAACTTATAAATAATATTTTATCTGAACAAAAATAAATTTTCTTAAAAAAAATTTTTTTTAATAGGTGAGAAGAAACAAACAGAGTAAGAGGAAGGAAAGATCACCTCAGCTTTAGAGAGTTTCCAGTCATCATTAAGATCCATTTCTTGGAATGACTCATGAGATCTTGGTCCATTTCGAATCTCTAAGAGATCAATGTTGAATATCAGTGTACTCTCTGGGGGAATTTTACCTGACATGAAAAGAGAGGGGAGGTTAAGTTTTATTTAAACAATCCCAAAGTTTTTGATGACAGAAAATGTATGACACTGAACAAAATATTCTTTTGATTGAATTAAATGAAGAGCCTTTCTAATATTATCACCTATGATGTAAATTACTTATAACTATGTTTTAAACAAATAGAATAAAGAAACAATAATCCAAACTAGTAGATCCAAGGCAGTCTGTTTGGCTTTGCAATTACAAACTGTTTTGGGCAAACAAACACACACATATACATACAGATGTGCCTAATGGCCTGGTATTAAATTTCAAATATAATTAAGATATTATATATTACATGTCAAGAATGACTTAAAGGGCTGTAGATAATTTAGAGTTAATTATAGTACAAGTGATATACTAACTTTGGGGGGGGGGCGGTTCACAAAAGTCCTGACCTAGGTATACATATAGAACCGCCATTTCTACCACTAGGAGGCAGTATCTAACTGAGAGAGATCTAGTGTCCTACTAGCTGGTATTAAAGCTTAACCTTGCCCCTCTTTAAGCCTATTTTCTCATCTATAAAATGCAGAAATATGTTGGGAGGATGAAGGAAGATAAAGCCATGCAAAATATTTAGCATTCTGCTTCATAAATAGTAAGCTCTCAATGTATTACTAAGATACAATTCTCTTATAAGGTTTAAAAACAATACAGAAATGTTCAACAATTTCGGCGTTAGGAAACACCTGTTAGGAAACACCTCCTCTGATATAGAATATATTCTGAAGAAATTTCATGAGAGAGAAGAAATTAAAACAAATTTTTGAGGAGGGAGATAAAAATCTTTATAAAAAAAATGAAAAGAGGGGCGCCTGGGTGGCTCAGTCGGTTAAGTGTCCAACTTTGGCTCAGGCCATGATCTCACGGTTCATGGGTTTGAGCCCCGTATCGGGCTCTATGCTGACAGCTAGCTCAGAGCCTGGAGCCTGCTTCAGATTCTGTATCTCCCTCTCTCTCTGACCCTCCCCGGCTCACACTGTCTCTCTCTCTCTCTCTCAGAAATAAATTAAAAAAAAAATTTTTTTTTTAATGAAAAGAGCTTTATGAAGTCCCAGAAGATACTCTCTGGAATGGGCACCCTACTACGCTGTTGGTGGGAATGTAAACTGGTGCAGCCCCTCTGGAAAACAGTATGGAGTCTCCTCAAAAAGTTAACAATAGAACTCCCCTATGACCCAGCAATAGCACTGCTATGAATTTACCCAAGGGATACAGGAGTGCTGATGCATAGGGGCACATGTACCCCAACGTTCATAGTAGCACTCTCCACAATAGCCAAAACATGGAAAGAGCCTAAGTGTCCATCAACAGACGAATGGATCAAGAAGATGTGGTTTATCTATAAGATGGAATACTACATGGCAATGAGAAAAATGAAATCTGGCCATATGTAGCAACATGGATGGACCTTGAGGGTGTTATGCTGAGCGAAATAAGTCAGGCAGAGAAAGACAAATACCATATGATTGCACGTATAGGAGGATTAGGAGGAACTTAACGGAGGACCATGGGGGAGAAGAAGGGGGGAAATAGTGGGGGAGAGGGAGAGAGGCAAACCATGAAAGACTCTTGAATGCCGAGAACAAACTGAGGACTGATGGATGTGGGGGGGAGGGGGGAGATGGGCATGGAGGAAGGCACTTGTAAGGTTGAGCACTGGGTGTTATATGGAAACCAACGTGACAATAAACTACTTGTAAAAAAAACAAAAAATATATAAAAAATTAAAAAAGAGCTATCTTTTTGGGAAGGGTTTAAACCACAAAAAAAAAAAAAGATACTCTCTGGGCAGAATGAACAATTTTTTTTTCAGTTTGTTTCTTTATAACCATATTTAACATAAAGGTCTGGGTAAACGTTATAAATATTTCTTAGTCCCCCCCACCCAAATCCCACATATTTCCATGAAAGAGCATTTGCTAAGTATTAAAGAGAACAAAACTTACACTCTGTGCCCAAGCTTACCATTCCAGATCTAGACAGAGAAGGGGCATGCACTAGGTCGTTGATAACACTGGGGTGTTTCCAAAGGAGGCATGCAAACGTGGTACCAAATGACTACAAAATTAGTATTAAATACATATTAGCAGAATTAGTTTCATGGCTCTCAGTTTGGAGGAAATGGCTCATATTTAGAACTTTACTTGTTATAAAGTAAAATTGAGCTAAATATAATACGGAGTAAGAGCATTGGACTAATTTCACATGTATATTAAAGGCAACGCAATAGAGATCATCAGGAAAGTGAAAGAATACATTTGAACATCAGAGAAACATTTCCTAGATACTTGATTTTCTTCTCTAAAGAGATGATTACCATAAGAATTGAATTTGCTTAGTAAATTCCATTCTATGCATGAGATTCAAATAGCAAGTTCCATTTTAGAATATAATGTTACCTGTAAGGCATTTACTTTCTTCTCAGGAAACTGGGGGAAGGATTCTCACTTTGTAACTGGTTATGTTTAGACCCAAGGATACTGTGAAGTCTGCTATTTCTACAGTATCAGAGTGGTTCCCTGTCTAGTTCTGTTGACTACTTAATAATTTTTTCTTCATTATGTAACACATGACCATTGTAGAAAATTTGGAAGAGACAGAACCAGAAATAAAAATAATTCCGACCCATCCATTATTATCATTCTTAATTATTTCCTTGTGATTCACTCCGTATGTGCGTATATACTTTTTTTCTAACACTTACTGTTGGATATAGTACAGCTTTATTTTCCACTTTTATATATAACATTATCTTACACATTTGGATATAATTTTTTAATCTTTGAAATGCCATTTTTAATAACTGGGCCATATTTTATTTAGCTAAATCCTTTTCATTATACATTGAAATTGGTTTCAACATTTTTGCTATTAGAAACAATGTAGTGGGGCACCTGAGTGGCTCAGTCCATTAAGCTTCTGACTTTGGCTCAGGTCATGAATGTGCATGGTGAGTTTGAGCCCCACAAACACTTTGGATCCTCTGTCCCTCTCTCTCTGTCCCTTCACTACTTGTATGCTATCTCTCTCAAAAATAAACATTTTAAAACAATGTAATAATGGACATCCCTGTCCATAAATCTTTCTCCTGAAAGCTGATTATTCCCTTAGGTTAAATTAGAAAGGAAATATATCCTGTGCAGGAAACGTCATCTGGCCTCTTGCAAATAGCCCTTTGGAAAGCTGCACGGCCCCCCACTCAAACAGCAGGTGTACATGCCTGGAACACACCAGCACAAAGTCTCCTGGAATCTGCTAGCCCATTTGCTTCTATTTTATTAAACTCATTTCATGAATCATTAAATATGATTCATTTATAAAACCTGTCGCTCCATCAGGTTTTATAAATGAATCATAAGAAAGTTATAAAACAACTTTAACACAAGAATGAAAACTCTCCCCCCCCCAAAAAAAGCTTTGTTACAGAAAACTTCAGTTGTGAATTCCCTGCAGCCCATATCTAAACCTCATTTAATACGTGAATAGTCTACATTTCACATGTTCAACTCATCAAAACACTTATGTGGAATAATCTTTCTTTTTGCATTGTTAAAATAAATTGGTGAGTTTCAGCTGGGGAGGATGAAAACATTCTGGAAGTGCAGAGTGGTGATGCTTGTATAAAAGAGTGTGAATGCTCGTAATGCCACTGAATTGTACAGTTAAAAATGGTTAAAATCTAAGGGTGCCTGAGTGGCTCAGTTGGTTAAGCGGCAGACTTCGGCTCAGGTCATGATCTCATGGTTTGTGGGTTTGAACCTTGGGCTCAGAGCCTGGAGCCTGCTTCAGATTCTGCGTCTCCCTCTCCCTCTGCCCCTCCCCCACTCACAGTTTCTCTGTCTCTCAAAAAAGAAATAAAAACTTTAAAATTTTTTTTAACACGGTTAAAATAGGAACCATTATTTTGTGAGTATCGTGCCATAATTTATTTAAAATCATTCTTTTGGTATATGGTAGTAAATTGTTAATGATAGAGTTGAAGCTTCCAAAACTTTTTATCAGTAGTTCAGCTGACCATTAAAATAGAATGGCTTTAATTTGGCCATCTCAAATGATAATCAAGACACAATCATACTTCAAAAAGACATCTTCTATTTACCTTTGGGGAAAAAAATACATAGTAGTTAACTCTGACTTCTGTCTCCTAACCCAGAGAAGAATTTCAGTGCTATAGTAAAAATGTGAAATTGTTATTACCTTTTCCTTCTTTTCCATAGCCCAGGGCGGGAGGAATGATGAGCTTTCTCTTCTCTCCTACACACATTCCCTTCAAGCCCTGATCCCAACCTTTGAGAGCCTCCAGGATGCCCAAGGTAAACCAAATAGGCTGACCATTGTTATGTTTGTGACTACAATAGAAAGAAAACATATTAGGACTCTTTAGTGACTTTATTTTTTTTATTGATGTGGCGTATTTTATTCCACTGATAAGTGATTCAATTTGGGAATGAACAAAAACAGCTATATGCGTACACACAAAACCAAATCAATTTTGTAATGATTTAATTACTGCCTATATTTCTTGATGCAAATTTCACACAATCGACTTAAGTAGAGAAGAGGAGAGGGAATAATAAAAACAGTTAATGATTATTTGAGATTTACTGTGTACCAGGTATTACCCCAAATTCTTTGCCTCTTTTAACTCTGACAGTGATCATATGAGGTAAGTACCATCATTTCCCCATTGTACAGAGGAAGAAACTGAGGTTAAATGTGCCAGTAGTTGATCTAACTCCAAAGTTCAAGGTCTTAACCACAGCAATGCTGTCCCGGGAACGTCATTCCGGGCAGCAGAGGGAGGAAATCATGGAAAATGAGTGAGTTTGGGAAGAAAGCGGAGAAGCTAAGGAGAATTTACTGCCAAGACATGTGGGTCCACACCCACATGGACATTGGAGAGTCAGGAGCACAGCATCTTCTAGGCTGCCTATAAACCCTACTGATATACAGTCTGGTGGTGGCTCTGACAGGTAGAAAAGGCTGCTCGTCAAGCTGAACCCCACCTAGATAGATGCTGCCCGCAGGTATTTTCTGTGGGGTTGTGCAGGGAAACCTGAGGGGCTGGGGGGTGGGGGGTGGCCCCTCAAGGACTCAGAAGGAAATGGTCAAAATACCCTGGCTTATGACCTGGAGAGAGGCCAGCCTAAGAAATCCAGCCTGCCAAGCTGCTGGGGGGCCTGAAGGCTGAGCAGTACCTGAGCCCCAGTTTGCTCCTTTTTTGGTACGTACGGAAAGTATTCTCAAGGATATCTTATAGGTGAGAATGAGAAATCACCCTACTAGGTTTCATGGGCACCATGGTTAGTTACTAAATCTAGGTAAAGGACAGAACTTCCTCTTTTCTTAATTTTACCCCCAGGACTAAAGAAACAAATTGCCAACTGTACAACACTTAGGAAGGCTAGAAAAGAATAAAGAAGGAAGAAAACAGTCTGCCACCCACTGACGACTACAATATTGGTACATTTCTTGTCAAAGTTAAAGGATTTAAGCTATTTACCACACGGGTTATTATTCTAGAAATGGCAAACTTGCTTTAATGATCCATCAAATGGATCATTTGATGGTACTTCATAAAACTCAGGGTTAGCAGTTTCTGACCATTTACACTGAGGCTGCATGACAATAGTCCCCTCATCAAGTACTAGAACTTTATTTAGTTATCTTTTTAATGTTTATTTATTTTGAGAGAGGGAGAGACATAGTACCAGTAGGGGGAGGGGCTGAGAGACAGGGAGACCCCAGTGGGAGCGGGAGAGAGGGCAGAGAGCTTAGAGGGTCTTAGAATCCGAAGCAGGCTCTGAGCTGTCATTAACACAGAGTCCAACGTGGGGCCATAACCCATGAACCCACTAGATCATGACCTGAGCTGAAGTCAGACGTTTAACCAACTGAGCCACCCAGGGGTCCCCCACCTTTTTTAATGGGTACTAGAACTTTGGTAGCAAACTGCTAAATAATGTTGTCTGGCTCCCACCAAAGTCCAACACATTTTTCATTCTGAGACCTGAAGGAAATCAGGCTGTATCTAAAAGAGTTCAGACTAAAAATAAAGATGTAATTGAAGATTTTAAATGCAAATCTTAATGTTGTTTAACATCCACTGTGGCACTGGCCTTGTCCATAAGAAAATAGAGCTGTTGAGAATTCTGTGGCAGGCCACTGCTTCGGAAATTTTTGCAAAGAGTTCAGAGAAGAGTGCCATTCATTTCTCTAAAACCAGACAGACCAGGTCTGAATGCTCAATAAAGGTAATTCATCTGAAAACGAGGTCTAGGATAGGCCACAAAGCTTTGCTACTTTAGTTCATGCCATTTTCTCTACCTGGAATGTCCTCCCTGCCCCCTTTCTCCACCTGGAAGGAACCCTGAACCCATCTTTCAAGGCCCATCTCAATTATGATCTCTGGGAAGTCTTACTCTTTCCCCATCTCTCAGAGCATAGTTAATTCCGGGCTTTGTTATGCTTTGCAAACACTTCGAACACTCTGGACTACATAGCATGAGTTATTTACCTGTGGTCCTCCTCCCTGTAGATGATGTACTGCTGGAGGACAGTAGCTCACTCTTAGTCACCTTTGCATCCTCAAGGCCTGACTTGTGATCGCTCATTACGCTCATTAAGGGTATGTTAGATGGACAGATAAATGAATGGACAAGGAAGGAGAAGACAAAATATTTTAATCTCCCTAGTCTCAAGCACAGGGCCTAACATAAAAGAAATGCTCAATAAATACTTTTGGAATGGAATGAAGAGAATCAATGCCTAATTAGAAATCATTACACTTGTAAAACTTCTCCATGTTGCAAATTCTTTGTTCTATGGAAAAGACATAACAATAGTGTGACCACCTGAAAATCATTCACTATAGTTATTGGATTAATCTTTCATGGCCATACCCATAGCCATCAACGAAATCTTTGAATTTCTAGAAAGAAATAATGAAACAAATCATGGTAGTGCGCCTTGACCGAAATGTCACTTGTACGAACAAAAATTAAATAGATCAATGGGCTAGCATTAGCATATCCTACAACAAGCAAATAAATGATTGTGTAATCGGCTCATGAAGTCCCTGCGAAACCACCTACACCATATTAAAAATGGAATTGAGTCATTTTCCCACGGGAATGGAGTTTGAGAAATGAAACTCCTTTACGGTTTTTTTTCCCTACTCATTGCCTAATCACACACCTAGATATTTCTGCAGTATTTCAAAGATTCTAGTTCTAATTTTTATAATAAAAATTAACCTCTTTATCCTTACCACACGTTTCCAATAAGAACTTCAAAGACGCCGTTATATACGGTCGTCTTTAAACAATTTCCTTTCCCAAAGAAGGAAAGAACAGATTTCAGTTTTTCAAAAGAGAAGTAAAACGTGATACAGGCTACCTTTCCTGTCGGAGAGCTCGCATAGGTGGATGGGTTCTTCACTATCTGCGGGGTGCAATTACTTACGTGGAGTGAAATAAGGAGCCATCCTTTTCTAAGTAGCCTTCATAGTGGACCAACATCAAATCTCCTCCTTTGGTCTTGCGATGGCAGATGAACGGCTTCTGGAGCACTTCAATCTTCACTTCTGGTTCAGGGATCAGAGCCCCACTCAAAGAAGTGACCAGCAACGTCAGCACCGCGTTCCACAAAAAAAGCCTCATGCTGCTGGAGCAGGAAAGAAGTTCCTACAAAAACAGAGAGAGGGCCCCGGACCTCATAGAACTAAGACAGTACTTGAAAGTTTAAAGACAACGGCCTCTGGCAAGTTCATGACTGCCGCTTCCTAGCAGACGTGGCACACTTACTACGACAACTTTCCCACGTAATTCGAACCCACCTCTAAGGAGTTAAACTCCAGACCCGGGCCTGACTGGCTCTCACAGGTTGGCTCTCGGGAAGGACGGCTCCCCATTGGCTAGCAGTGCAGTCCGCCGGAGCCTCTCAAGCCAATGATGCTGCAATAATTACAGCTGGGCGGAGCCAGGCCCGGGTCAGGCTGCTAACCACACGGAGCGGTCCTAGAGCTCTGCGGATTAAAGAATTCCACAACCTCGGATTTTGGGAGATCCCTGGCGAGCGCCGCTAACCGGAAACTCCTCCGACAGATTTACATCTGTGAAGTACCCTGGCTGAGCTTGCTGGAAAGAGTCCCGGGGCTAAGTGAAAGGGTAGCTGTTATCCGGAATGTCTCATTTACTCTTGCAGACGTTGAGAGGTCACCCCCCCCCCCGCCCCCAGGATTCCACAGTCCTGCTATTGTTTTTATTATAATTTACAGTATAAACGATAAAGGCTTAAATATTTCTGTAGGGTTCGCAAAGCGCATTACCGTGCGTAAACCTCACTACACTGCCAGTAAGGCAGGTTCTTTAATCCCATTTAAATGATTAAGTGTATCTGGGCTAGGAAAGGTTAAGTGTCCTGCTTAAAATTGTTCAGCCCCAAAGCATTTGAGCTCCGCCTTCGAACCAGGTCTTCTGATTCATTCTACAACATCGCATAGCGTTATGGCTGCTAACAGTTTATTGCTTAGGTAGTGACTTTAATGTAGAGGGTCAATAATAGCTTCCGTAGACGATAAGGACGAGCAGACCTCCATTTTAAAAAAATGTTTTATTTATTTCTGGGAGAGAGAGAGCGAGCGAGCGAGCAGGGGAGGGTTAGAGAGAGAGGGAGATACAGAATCTGAAACAGGCTCCAGGCTCTGAGCTGGCTGTCAGCATACAGCCCAACGCGGGGCTTGAACCCACGAACCGTGAGATCATGACCTGAGCCGAAGTCGGACACTTCACCGACTGAGCCACCCAGGCGCCCCCAGACCTCCACTTTATAGAAGAAATAGTAATCACAGTTATGAGTTACACCGGCTTTACATTTTTCGCTTTATTTCAAAAGCAACACATGATCGTTAGAGTCGATTGGGAAAAAACTGGAAAGCACGAAAATAGGTTTTCTGGTTAAAATAAAGGAGCCGAATTAAATGCGAATTACGATAAACAACGAATCCGTTGTTCTGTATTTTTGCTAAATCTGGCAATCTTACGCGAAAGAAAAAGAGGGGGGAAAAAAAGATCGCCTGTAGCGCCACCATCTACAAATAATCATCTTAACATTTTGGTTTATGCTTCTGTGATATATGCTTAAAATAATTTGGATCAGATTGTGCACTTTCTTTCGTAACTTGCTCTTTCCACTTAATCTGTTGTTACTATTTCCTATCGTCAAACATCCGTAGCACAGTACTTTCTCACACTTTAAAATGCTTAGGAATCCTCTAGAGAATCTGTTAAAATGCAGATTTCGACTCTGGAGGCCTGGGCTTGCCATGAGATCCTGCGATTTTGACAAGCTCCTAGGTGGTGCCAAATTTGCTGTCCATGGACCACACTTCCAAGAGCGAGGCCTTAGAGTTTAAACAACATGTTTACTACCTACACTGTATACTATCGTGAAATTTCCGTCAACTCCGTACGCTCTAGTGCTGGCTACCTCAATTTTGTGGGATCAATTAGCCTTGAAATAAGAATTGGACCCTGGGGCTAGAACGCAGGAGGTACCCTAAGGGGCCACACTGACCCCCAAACATCGAGAGGTGGGACCGGCCCCAACTACGGTACCATTAACAGTCTGGACTGTGTCCCACTCTGGTCTCATGGGTCGCCCTTTTTTCCGAAGCAGCGCCTACTCTCAAGCCCACTTCCCAGGACTCAATTTCCCTGCCTGCAGTGCCCGCTGCGTCAGACGCGCCGCCGCCGCCGCCAAACCCCGGAGTGGATCTTGGGAACGTGCGTGCGAGCGGCGCAGTAGGCATGCGCGATCGGACCCCGGGCCCGGCGGGTCGAGGATTCGGGTAGCGCGCTGTGGCGCCGCCTGCGACCGGCTCCCTCGCTCTAGCGGCACCTTGGAGGCTGCCGCCAGTCCTCGGGCCCACCCAGTGCCTTCGCCTCCTTGTGGACAGCGCGCCGGCTCCGCCGCACAGGGCCCCCGGCCGGCCGCGTCCTCACGTGCCGAGGCCGCCGCAGTGACCCCGCCCCCGGGCCGAGGATGTGAGGCTGGCCGGGTGTCCCCGCACCGGGCCCGGGCGCCGGGAGTCGGCGGCTCGGCAGCTCTGGGCGATGGCCCTGCTGCCGGTGCTCCTCGCCTCTTGGGGCCTGGGGCAGTGAGGGGACCGGCGGGCGAAGGGAAACGGCCGCGGCGCGGCGGGGGCCGAGGGGCCGCGGGCGACATGGAGGGGGTGCTGTACAAGTGGACCAACTATCTGAGCGGTGAGTGAGGGGCGCGCCGGGCGCCGGGTCCTTTGTTTGAGCGGCGGGAGGGCGGCGTCGGACGCGCGTCCTGGGGGTCGGGGTCACTGCCCCTCCTGAAAGCAGAGAGGCCTGCACGGGCCGGGGATACGTCCCCAAAGCTGTCCTCACGGGTCCGTGTCACCCATGCCGTAAGGACACAGCCTGCCGCTGGGGCTGGGTGAGATCCGTGGCTGCCCTTCCACTTCAAGGGAAGCGACAAAATACTGAGGTTTGGGGTGACTGGAAAGGCTCGACGCCCTCCGTGTCAGCGGGAAGGAGGCGCCGACTCCGCAGTGGGGTCTTCTAGGAGCCTGTCGAATTCCGGCGAAGGAGCAGGTCTCACCTGGCCTGCGGATAGGTTGGAAGGTTTCCAGGGAATGCCAGAGGTGACTTGGAATTCCAGAGGTGAAAGGTCCTTTTTCAGACCAAGTCCCCGGTGCAGACACTTTCCCTTTGTCACTTTCGGAGTCCTCGGCGTGCGGCTCAAGATACTATAATTCCGTCTCTGCAGTCCCAGAGCTCCACAGTACGTGCACGATTTTTGCTTTTCTCCCTGGGCGTTCTTTTGGTTTTACAGACTCAGAAATGCCCACGAAATGAAACCGTGGCAACTGTTTGTGGCACGGCTGGGCAGGATGGCTTAAAAATAGTACCCCGCCCCCTTTCCAATGTGTGGAAGTGCGTTACTTCATATCGTGTGAGGTCATAACGATTCTCCAACTGTGAATATGATCCAGAACAAGAATTTTTTTTTCATTCGTGCAGCCAATATTTAGTAAAAGCCTTCTGCATGCTCGCAGCTGTGTTAGGCACCATTTTAGAATTAAACTTTATTATGGAGAATGAGCTGGGCGCTTTTAATTTTCATAGCAGTGTATTTGAAGTAGCCTCAGTATCTCTTATAGTTGGGGAGATATATTTTCCCATCCTTTGATAGAACAGGACAGTTTTTAAAAACTTTTTTAAATGTTTATTTTTGAGAGACAGAGCTCAAGCAGGGGAGGGGCAGAGAGAGAGAAAGAGAGAGACACAGAATCCACAGCAGGCTCCAGGCTCAGCTGTCAGCACAGAGCCCGATGCGTGGCTCAAACTTATGAACTGTGAGATCATGACCTGAGTCGAAGTTGGCCGCTCAACCAACTGAGCCACCCAGGCGCCCCAGGACAGGAAAATTATTTGAATATTTTAGCGTCGTCATGCTCTAGGGTAGTTTAAGGACTGATGTCTCTGGGAGGATCAGTTGGAATAGTGACTTTGATGATGTTACACAGTACAGCCAAAAGTACACCTGTTGGCTGTACCCAAAATCTCTTCCTTTTGCAGACTGTGGTTAGAAGTGAGTTGTTTATTTTTCTTATATTCATTAGTGAAGACAGAGCGAAGAAAGGGGCTTTAGAAGGCCTGGCCTTTGGTTTTGAAGACTTTCTTTGATGTCAGATGATTAAATTAGGTGTGGGTAACTTATGGCTGGGCTTTGGTGAATGTCCGAGGCTGGTTAACAGCCTTCTAATCTAAAGGGAACATGCTTGATCAGGTAATTTTTCTTTGAGGCATCTCTGAGGCCTGAGATGTACGGATCTTAAGTCCTTGAGTGAAATTTAGTGCCTGGTCTTTTACCTTTTTAACTTTTTTGTTTCATCTTGAACATTCCTCCTCTCTTCCTTCTTTTCTGCCACCCCCATCACCTGCCTTTTCTGGGGGGAGGGCCTCACTTTTCTTCCTCTCATCCTCCTTTATATAGAAAGTTTAGTCTATGTGTGTAATACCTGTTTCCTAGTTGTTTTCCCCCTGACTGTTTTTATGTGTCTTTCAATACAGCAGAATTTCTCTAGAAGGATCCTTTGGAATCTTTATCATGTGATGCCTATACCATCTGTCCAGTTGGAAAAGAGTCTCCTTTTTTCTGCCCCAAGGAGGAGAAGTTAATTCTGCAAGTGGTACCAGGGTGGAAGCCCTAAAAAGGGGAGGCTGGAGCCATTGCCAGAGGCAGCTGTCCTTACATGATGTTGCTTGTTCCCTTGACCCACATGCCACCGTATTGTGGGCTTTGTGTTCATAGAAGCCCATCATACCATTGGGTACTTTTCCTGGATATCCTTAGAATTATTTTTCAGCACAGTCTTTCATCAGGAGATAAATTTACTTTGGAAAGAAATGGTATAGTCTAGGAGGAACACATTCCTGTTTCTTCCACCCTCCAATGTGAGTTAGTCTCCCGAAAGAAAGAGCATAGTGTGACTGTTAATGACAAGCTTAGATGAAGACATTACTACTTTTTCTTCTTCTGAAGCTTGTTTTTAAGTTACATTTTTTTGGGTCGCCTGGGTGGCTCAGTTGGTTAAGCATCTGACTCTTTTTTTTTTTTTTTTTTTAACATTTTATTTTATTTGACAGAGACAGAGTGCAAGCAGGGGAGGAGCAGAGAGAGAGGGAGACACAGAATCCAAAGCAGGCTCCAAGCTTTCAGCACAGAGCCCAACACGGGGCTCGAACCCACAAACGTGAGATCATGACCTGAGCCAAAGTCGGATGCTCAACTGACTCAGCCACTCAGGCAGCCCAAGAGTCCGACTCTTGATTTCAGCTCAGGTCATGATCTCATGGTTCATGAGATCGAGCCCAGCATCAGGCTCTCACTGGTAACATGGAGCCTGCTTGGGAGTCTCTCCTCCCTCTCTCTCTGCCCTTCCCCTGTACTCTCTCTCTTTTTCTCTCTCAAAATAAATAAATAAACTTTTTTTAAAAAGTAACATTTTTCCTTAGGGTTTTTGCACACAGTAATTTTAAAATACATCTAATCCCAGCCATAGTGTTTGTGCATTCTGAATTTTTCTCTAAATGGTTATACCTGTTTGTTTAATTTTGTCATGCCCACAGCTTGATATGGGAAGCCTTTGTCAAAAAGTTAGGAAATCAGTTTATTAGCTGATCATTTTAATGCTTGAAAGATATTGTTAATTTCATTCACCACCTACTGTGTGCTGGGCACTACTATGTTAGGCACAGGGCAAGCAACATTGAACAAGACAGACACAGTCCCTGCCTTCCTTGAGGTTACAGTCTGATGGGGGAGAAAGACATTTATTGGAAGTACTTAGAAACATGTTCCAAGTGTGTGTGAACTGGGAGAGAGGGAGGAGACCAGCTAATTTGGGTCACTGGGAGGCTTCTCTGAAGAAAAGACTTAAGCTGAACCTGAAGGATAAATAGAAGCTAGCTTGTTGGCGAGGCAAGCAGAGGTGCAATTGGAGGCTGTGAGGAAGAACTTTTTAGCTACAGAGAATGTTGGTATGAAAGCCGTAAAGCAGGATAGAGACCAGTGAGTGAGGCAAGGAAGGAAGACCTGAAAGGCTGCAGAGCTCGGAGGGAGGCTCCCACAAGGCTGCAGGGGTGGTTAGGAAGCTTGAAAGGCCCCCGCGGGGTCTCTTATGCTGGAATGGTTGGAGTATGTGAAAGAGAGGAAATGATGAGGGTGTTTAAACACTTAACTTTGATTGCATTTATCGTGCTTTGCCAAATGCTGTAGTTATTTTGTGAGTTTCTCTTGCCTCTTTAATTAAACTGGTAGGTGTCATTTACTGAAAGTTTGAAACATCATCAAACCCAGAGAATAGCATTTAAACTGCTTGCATGAGTGTAGTACTAAAAAAATAGAAGCAGTCTCTTTTCCTAATACACTAGGCATACACAGGTACCCTGTGCTCCTTAAAAGGAAACTGAAAGGGGCGCCTGGGTGGCTTAGTCGGTTAAGCGTCCGACTTTCGCTTAGGTCATGATCTCGCGGTTCATGGGTTCGAGCCCCACGCTGGGCTCTGTGCTGACTGCCAGCTCAGAGCCTGGAGCCTGTTTCAGAGTCTGTATCTCCCCCTCTCTCTGACCCTCCCCTGCTCACGCTGTCTCTCTCTCTCTCCTAGAAATAAATAAAAATGTTAAAAAAAAAAAAAAGGAAAACGAAAGAGAGAGAACTTACGTGTACTTTCTTTAACACCCCTGAGCCATCCTACTTTTTAAACGTCAGAACATTGGACAGTCTGGAATTTAGTGCCACACTTTGTCTTCTGATGTTAGAAGATTAAACCTGGAATGAAAAGAAATAGATCAAACATTTCACAAATCCCTATATTGTGTGAAACATAGAGCTAGGTGTTGTAGGTTTGTTATTCGTATCTTTTAAGCCCTAAAAGTTGGTCAAGGAATAGTATACATGCTCGGTTGTAAGTTAATACTCTGCAGTAGAACCATAATTGAGGTGTCGAAGAGACCTAAAATCTGATACCAGCTCTGTCACTGCCAGCTTCAGAGTCACTTTACCATTTGGAGCTTAACGACTTCCTCCATAAAAATGATGAGATTTACCAGTTAATAATTATAAAAATAGTAAAAGATTTAGCAATGTTTCAGGCACTATTCTAAACATTTTCCATGTATTAACTCATTTAGTCTTCACATCCATTTTCCAGATGAAGATATTGAGACACAGAAAGGTGAAGGAACTGGCCCAGGGTCACAAAGTTAGTAAGTGGCTCCAGAGCCATTGCTCCATTACGTAATACTTTGAAAGGTCCTTCCTGCTTGATCATTATATAATTCGAGCTGATTCATAATGCACCTATATTTAAAATATGTTGACCTAGAATAGCAGACTCCATTTGGGGGTTGGAGGAAGGGAGGAGTTCAGGAGTGAGGAAGACTTTGTTCAGTATTGTGCATATGCTTTGTCACAGGGAAGTTCTCTCAGCTGTGCTGTGAGCTTTCTGCTTTGCCATTTTAGGTGTCTTCCCTGCCCATCCAGCAAACAGGAGGGCCGCTGCCCTGAGCTCTATCCAGCTGAGGCTCCGTGGGCCCAGCCAGCAGGTTAGGACCCAGCATACTGCAGTACTGCATTCCAGAAATAACAGAAGCTTGCATCATGCTGACCAGATGATTGTCTGAGGAGGTGCTAGGATTCTGCTTACTGCCCCCTAACCCAGGTGGAGGAA